CAAGTACTGTAACAATATTTCGATATTTGCTTGGTTCTGGTTGGTTAGTTATTTTTAAATAATCACACCACCAAGTATGGACCATAAATAAACACCATTCCCCTCGCCTGCATGTACTCCAACGCTCACGGTGGAAGAAGACCCTGTGCCCTGGGTGATAGGAATTTCCGCACAGTTCTCACCGCTCGGGCTCTTCCTTGCTAGTTAGATACAAGTATATTTCCGCCCCAACATACTTGAGCTGATAGAGCACGGTCCCTTAAATGAGTTTCCTCTGTACCTTACTTCTCTGTACCTTACCGTAGTAGTACAGTAGTGTTCCTAAGCAACAGGGTAAGAAGAATACTAGTTGGCAGTGAAACAAAATTACGCCAAATAAACATCAATATAAAACAGTAGGGATGGACGGGTCCCGAAATTTCGGGAATTTTTCGGGAAAAAAATATTCCCGATTATCGGGACGGGATTACATTTGACTCGGGAATTTTTCGGGACGGGATTTGGTCCGATCGTCGGCGATTTTTCCGCTTCGCGAGTGCCAATAACGCCGTTATTGCGAGCGATAGGTCCGCGAACGCAGGAGACGAAGTCATACCGACGATCGCGCCGTGACCGCGGAGTCCTACCGACGATCGCGCCGTGACCGCGAGTCATACCGACGATAACCCCGTGACCGCGGAGCCATACCGACGATCGTGCCGTGACCGCGAGTCATACCGACGATCGCGCTGTGACCGCGGAGTCCTACCGACGATCGCGCCGTGACCGCGAGTCATACCGACAATAACCCCGTGACCGCGGAGCCATACCGACGATCGTGCCGTGACCGCGAGTCATACCGACGATCGCGCCGTGACCGCGAGTCATACCGACGATCGAGCCGTGATCGCGAGTCATACCGACGATCTTGCCGTGACCGCGAGTCATACCGACGATAATCCCGTGACCGCGGAGTCATACCGACGATCGCGCCATGACCGCGAGTCATGACGACGATCGCGCCGTGACCGCGAGTCATGACGACGATCGCGCCGTGACCGCGAGTCATGACGACGATCGCGCCGTGACCGCGAGTCATGACGACGATCGCGCCGTGACCGCGAGTCATGACGACGATCGCGCCATGACCGCGGAGTCATGCTGACGATCGAGCCGTGATCGCGAGTCATACCGACGATCATGCCGTGACCGCGAGTCATACCGACGATAACCCCGTGACCGCGAGTCATACTGACGATAACCCCGTGACCGCGGAGTCATACCGACGATCGCGCCGTGACCGCGAGTCATACCGACGATCGCGACGTGATCGCGAGTCATGACGACGATCGCGCCGTGACTGTGAGCCATACAGACGATCACCCCGTGATCCGCGAGTTACAAGTTACTATAGGTACCTGTAAATTGTTACCCATTTTTTGTTTTTATAGATCAGTGCCACAAATGGTAAAAATTGATTTCGTATGTCTTTTTGGTAACTGCAATACAGTACGTTCTTTTCATGCACAGAAAAAAATCCCGTCTCGTCCCGTCCCGAAAATTGGGAAGGAAATAAAAATCCCGTCCCGTCCCGTCCCGAACTAAAAATTCAATCCCGTCCATCCCTATAAAACAGGTGTGCTGTATAATTTGACTATGATACTGAGGGAGATGTATAATAGGTGTATCTTTGGCCAGTGATCATTTGCATGAGACAACTCCTTTTGAAATTTAAATCAATGACTAACTATGATACAATCAAACATCAAAAACATGAATTATATGGACATTGAACATTCAATTCCAATCTTTAAAAGCCATGCTCTGGCGGAGTTATACAAACATAAAGCTACATATATTGATTTCCAATCTTACATATTGTCAACAATGACTATGACTATTATAAGTAACAATTAATTGGCACAAAGCAATAATATTTTGGACGTGTAAGCTATTATTAGACACAATTTTCATTGAAAAACTTGTGTAAAAGAACATATAATGCATTTAATACTGGATTATAATGCTTAGTTAATTTAACCCACTGATGATGACTGACGTGCTTAGCCCGTCACCGCATTTTGCGGCAAGATATCCTTACTGCTAGCCGACCAGGGCTCAAGTAGTTTATGGAATCTAATCTACGAGCACTAGTGTTATTGTGTGCTTATGTGGCAATCGACCCGTTTGGCCAACGGTGGCAAGGTAGCTCAGTTGGTTAAGGCTTCGCACTGACGAGTGTAGAGTTAAACCCTAACAACGTAGAATGTATACCGTACATGTGCAATCCATACTGAACTTACTAATGAGTGGTTAAAATAAACTGTATCCGGCTTGAGTAGAAATTGACGGCATTACTGGCTTTAATAAGGATCGCACAAAACACCTTTTTTTGCTTTTTTTACACTAGACTCTTCTTAAGGCACTTGTTTAAAAAGACATACTCCATTATGTTAATACCCCATAAGCTGCAAAATAAATTTTAGACGTGTTTTGATAGGAGGTTTGCACTTCACAATAAATGTGTTGGAAATATTTAAGAATGTTATCTTTTAGAAAAAGTTAACATTATGTTAAATTAGTGTATGAGGGCCGTCGAGAACCTAAACTCAGAATGCTTCCAGCTACAGTAACGTTACTATCACATTTCTCGTACTCCGTCTGCAATGGAGTGTTGAATTGAGTGCTGCCATTGCACTTTCCCGCCACTTGTGAGGTGATCTCTGAGATCAGATTTTGGTTTGCAAAAATTCACACGGAAATTAAAATATATCGCCAGGTTTAGGATTTTTAGGGAATGGGAGTAATGAGTGAAGACCAACAAAAATAGTGGTGGCCAAGTTGTTTTTTTTTTTTTTTTTGACAATTTTATGAAACAATCTCGGAGAAAATGTTCTATGAATTTCTCAATTGTGAATTGGTAGAAAACAAATAGAGGAAATAGATTTGAAACAGTGCTGGAACTGTAACTACCATTCTACCTCTAAAGAAGTCTCTGAAAGGGGCGAAATATTAGTTAAAATGTGTTACTTTATTGTGTTCTTTTAACTTCCTGGTACTCTTTCTTGAGAGTTAGTTGTGTATCCTCCCTTAATTCCTTTTCTTTAAGTTCTTAAAACCAAGTTGACTTTTCCCTTCATAAATTACAATTGTGAATCGGCAATTCTCACAGATATTGGTTATTGACTTCACCTACCAGTCAATAGCCACTAGACTAGGTGTAACACTGCTGTTATGATCGTAAACTGATATTTTTTTATGATCGTTTCTGATATTTTAAAGTTAATGCACCACTGTCTCACTCAGCCACTTCACTTCTTTGCCGTAAGCTTCACAAATCTGGTGATAGATTTCAATTCACTTTTCACTTTTCGCCAATAAAAACTGATCACAGAAAACAACTGCAATGATAGTGCAAATTTCAACACTGCACTGCAGATAAAAAGACACACACACTTCTGTAGCTGGATGATTAGTGTGTGTAGAAATATGTCGATGCTAGGATGGCGGGATAACACAGCCCCAAGTGGTGACATCTGTTACTTTCTAGATGGCCCTGCGATTGTATGTATGGGTTGTGTTTTACTTGCACTGTATATTTGTCATTGGTAGTGTGGCGAAAGTACCATACCATTGACTTTTGGACAATGAAGTAGACATGACCAGCTATCTCCAATTCTTTATTTTAAAATAATATAGTTGGGTGAGCCAGTTAAAGATTGCACTAGTGTCTAAAAATCCTATTTTCTACCTTATTGGTTGTCACTGAAATAGTTGAGGTGATATAAAGCAGAAGTTGAAAAAGTTCAAAGCTCTAAGAAAACAGAAAGCAGTCAAAAGGAGGTACGGGCCTTCTCTTTGGTATTACAGCTTAATGTCAACTATAACAGACCAAGAGATTGTACAATCGTTTTGAAATCCCTCAGAAAACTGATATTATATACTCGACTTGTTTGGTAACATGGTGGGCAGTGTGTGGGAAACACCCGATATGTCAGGTTGGTTGTTGGGTCCATCATCAGGTCAGGTACGGCGAGCTGTTCGATAGTGTGAGGGGGCTCTTAAACTCTTTTTTTTAACAATAGTATTGAGTAATTGACATCTTAAATCTTTTCACATTAAATATCTCTAGATGAAAATACGAAGGGGTGGATTGTAAATTAAAAACTGAGTTGGCTACAACTTAACTTTATTTTGTGGTTCAAAGTGGGCCTACAAAGAAAATCTAGGTTTAAGTACAAAATAATAAATACTTCATCATTCATAACATAATAAATTAATTACTTGTTAACTTTTTCAAAATATTCTTTTGAGCCATCAGGAGAAGGCTTTATGGTAGGAGATTCTGGTTTCCAATTGGCAGGGCAAACTGTAAAAAAGCAAAATCGCCTCCGTTACTAATCATGCAAAACATAAAAAAAAAACTGTATCAAACATTTAAATTATAATACTAGATTCATTTTAGAGTGCCAACTGTACATTAAATAACATTTTGTGGCTACCATCTTAAAATTATGTGACTAGATGCTTTCTCTGTATTGTCCTGTTTGATGATTTGGTTTATATTTAGATATAATAGATCTAGCAATTCTTGTAGTAGTAACCTGTTTAAAGGCTTAACAAACAATATGGTCGCAAAAAATATTACAATAATTTGTACAAAATGATATCTAACGTGGCTGATACAGTAAAAAAACCATACATATTGTTGAATATACAACACATTTTCATAACCAATATTTGAACATTCAATATTGATAGTGGGGAAAACATGTCACATAAATCATTATTTAGAGGAGAGTGGTATTTTAATAGTAGTAGTAGGTTTTTTGAGTAGTTACTAAGATGTAAATTAAGTTGAAATTAGAGTAGGCCTATCATGACATCAGCACAAATATATTTGAAGAACCAACAACCAACAGAATCTCTAACTAACTACTATAGGCCTACATAAATTAATTAGGTAGTGATCATTCAAACAAATCAAACTACACAAACACACAAGCTGCAATGAGGCTTACCTTCACCATGTTTGTCTGTGAACTGGAAAGCTTTCACCAGCCTAAGGACTTCGTCTACACTGCGACCAACGGGCAAGTCATTCACTGTTATCTGTCGCACTACCCCCTGCAATTGAATCATGCAAGTTACTTAGAAACCATCTATGTGGAGACCTGTGTGATGAGTAGAGCTCTGTTAGTTCAAGACAGGACGGGACAGGATTTTTTCTCCGTGATAACAAATTTGTTTTAAAAATCTTGATTAAACATTATTGATAATGGCAAAGCAAAATTAATTTTCAGTCTTAAAAACCAACAATAGATAAAAATACACATGTATAACAAAAGCTTGTGACTAAAAGATTCACATTATTAAATGTGAAACATCATTTTCACCAAAAAATACCTATAGCTAATCACAAACAGAAACTTAAAATGGACTACCACTGCACGTTTAAAAGCTTTAGATATAGAGTTTCTAAGGCCTCATATGGTTATCAGAAGAAAATCATTATATGGTGTATTGGCCTCTGAATCACTAAATTTAAGCTAAATAGTTTATGTTATTTGGGTTAGTCAAGTGATCCTTTTTTAGTAGTTTACTACTCTAGTTTCGGAAATCAGTAAAAGTCCATCATTAGGTAAAAAAATAAAAAAATATGAAAATTAAAGGAAAAAGATAAGGAAGGGAGACAGTTGAATCAAGTGTATGAAATATTTTGTTTGAAAATTGGTAAAATGTTCTCATATTAGTGTATACAATTTAGAATTAATTAAAACCAAATGGTGGTTTCCATTGTTTGATAGTTTGACAACAAAATTCCAAATGAAATTAAATCAGCAAAAAGCATGGTGGGATTTAAGAGGGGTCTTAAAACATTTCTCATCAACAAGGTATTGTATTCCCTTGATGAACTTTAAAATTTTAGGAGCGTTAATTTTTAATTTGTATAAACTTATGTTAGATTTTAAGAACTTTGTATCTATAGAATGTAAGAACATTGTAATATAAAAACATGTAAGAGAATGACACTATTCATGTACTTTGTGCTTTAATGAATAAAGATATATTGAATTGAATTGAATTACTTACCTGAATTAAAAGCCATAAAATTTTATCAAATAATGAAGTGGTATGGATGAATTTGGTTTCTAAAACCGTTGGTGGATGTGTAGGCCTAACCATTTTATACAATATGGAGAAGAAAACTAACTCTTCTCCTTCACGTCCTATTCCCGCTGCAAAGCACGATAGCAGCTAATTTATATTAAAAAATAAATATATTTATTTAAATCTAAAACTATATATCTAAACAATCTGCTTTGTTGCAGACATATTATTTAGCCACATATTTGGTACAGTTAGGAAGTTTACCTGTGGGTCAATAATAAACAGTCCTCTCAATGGAACGCCATCCTCCTCCAACAGAACATTGTAGTCTCGGGCAATACACTTGTTGAAGTCTGACAGCAACGGATAGTTCAGGTTACCCAGTCCTCCATGCTGTAACACAAGAGACAGTAGTCGATCATAGGGATTGAAAACTATTTCTTGTGGCATAATATATATTTTTGATATATTCTGGAACGTGTCAATGATATATGAAACACCCCTGTTGCGGCTAGTCTACATGCTTAGCAAATTTCCAATTGTTACGTATTGAATATTGATCTAGGTTCCCACGCCCAATTAGCCCAGCATCTATAGGGGGTTGAGTATCCAATGAAAATGTAACTCATTACATGACTCATGATTGATGTTGAAGACATCTTTGAGATGACCAAAACCGATGTTTTCGCCATCTCAGCTGGTGCACAACTTGTGGGGGGGGTCAGTATGAACACACAGGGTGCGTTATGAAACAGCGCTCTTATGTCACAAACTATACACGATAGAAACATGCTCTAAAGGGCATTTTGTTACACCCTTGAACTCTTTAATAATGTTGATTTGGACACAATAGAAACCTGTTCTAAACGACAAAAATCGTACTCATTTAAAATGTTATGAGAAAAAACAACATATCTATCTGCGATATTAGTAATTTGAGATTTTATGAAATTACTGACCGACTCAGTTAGGAAATTCTAGACCACTTCTCGATGAACAAGGATACGGTTGTTGGTCACGGGCCCAAACCCCTAGGAAAATTCTAAAAAGCCGCATTCTCAAGTTTTAATCCTGTGTAGTGAGCTGACAGATCTATCAGATGTCAGATGTTTTATTGAATTTTGGTTGCTAGGAAGAGAAAAATAAACAAGGAGAGATTCTTTAGGCTTTTCCAACAAAGTGGTTCATTTTTATTTGCTCTAAACAATTAATTGTTAATTACTTTTAAAAGTATGAAAAATTAAATAATAATATTTAGTGGAAACCTCTAGTCTTTTATTTAAGGTATTTCTCCTATTTAAATGAGGTTCTTTTCACTAAAATTGGTGACCCCGATTTGAACACATCAAGAAAACATAAGTCAATAGAAACCAATGAAGAAGTATTGGCAAGACTAAAACTGATGGGAGAGCAAAACCAAGATCTCAGAAAACAACTTAATGATGTCATTGGAGTTGACTCTGATTATTCAAGACAAAATCATGATTCAGAAGAAGATTTTTTGGTTAATCCAATGAATCAGAAAACTCAAGAAAGAAACAATTCAGTAAATCCAAGACCGTCTGACAACACAACTTTAATGCAATCTCCACAATTAAAATTTCCCCATTTTTGGCGTGAGAATCCAGCACAGATACAGATTCAGATACAGATACAGTTCATACAGATTGAGGTGATTTTCTCTTTATGGCACATTTTTGATGAGAGCCTTTGTTTCACATACGTTGTGACACACTTAGATGAGATGACTGCTTCCGAAATAGAGGATTTACTCTCAAACCCAAATCTGGAAAACCCTTACACGAGCCTGAAAGAAGAACTGATAAGAAGATTATCAGTCTCAGAACATAAGAGGATTAAGCAGTTACTCGTAGAAGAAGAACTCGGGACAGATACACCATCCCACTTTCTCAGAAGACTGAAATCGTTAGCTGGCAGCAGCGTTCAAGATGACTTGCTGAGGATCATCTGGATGCAGTGACTTCCTGCGCATATTCAAGGCATCCTGCAAACGCAGTTAGGCGCTGGGGTCAGTACCGAATCATTGGCCGTTACAGCGGACAAGATTCAGGAGGTTCAACCTTTGAGTTCACCTGCAATAAGCTGTGACGCTATTTTGTCAAACCGAGGTAAGCCAACGAATGTTAAAAAAACTTTTCCCAGACCCCACATAGTCACAACAATCTTAATCAAGGAGGAGGTTTTGAGGCAATTTTGGAGAAACTTTCAATGCTGGAGGAGAAAGTTAACTGTCTTTCAGATGACTTGATGACATATAAAAATAGTAAATTCAGATCACAAAGTCAAAGCCAGTCCAGTAAACAGCATAGTAACTCACCCCACAATGACATCTACTGCTGGTATCATAACCGTTATGGATCACGTGCCACCAAATGCGTGACTCCTTGCTCTTACTCGTCTACAAAAAACGAACTAGGCAACTAGATGCGGTGTCGACTAGTTGTCATGTGCCTAGACGCCAGGTTACAAGTAATTGATAACAATTCAGGCAATAGGTTTCTGATAGACACAGGTTCAGACATAAGTTGTATACCACTAAATTTAGTCAAAAGACCCTTAAAACCATTAAACAAGCTCTAAACAATTAATTGTTAATTACTTTTAAAAGTATGATAAATTAAATAATAATATTTAGTGGAAACCTCTAGACTTTTATTTAAGGTATTTCTCCTATTTAAATGAGGTTCTTTTCACTAAACCTGCAACTGGAATATGGGAACCTCTGTCCTTCTTTTCCCAAAAACTACACTCCCCTGTTGTATTGCCTGTTGGGTATTGAATTGCCTGTTGTAAAGTTACCGTCATTACTGCTTGTTACTTGTTACCATTATTACTAGGCATAGTCTTCTTGTTGTTATTTATTGTAGTTTTTAGGTCCCACTCATGTATTATTGCCAGATTATTATTGCACGATTTTTGTAACCACTGATATTAACTTATTATTTGCAACTTATATATAGTTCATAGTTTGACAAAATTGTATTAATGGAGAAACCGTTGGAATAAATAAATAAATAAATAAACTGGCAGCACGACTACAATAGTTGCAGGAGGTGATTTCTGTAGTGGCAGCGACTATGATAGTCACGTTTTTCTATGGTTTTGGTTAACTCTATATAATTGGTTGAAAACCATTGTAAAATCCGTAACCATTAGGCGCATAATAACGCCTCAATATACTAAATTATTTGTTTTTTTTAAGCTCTACAAAATAGTTTGGAAAGAAATTGCTAAATTTTATGTTTTTTGGTTCAAAAATGGGAAAAACCTATTTTTACCCCATAAAACAAATATAATTATATTTATTTATTTACTTATTTCATAGTCCCCCATAACGGGGGTTTCCGATAGTCCGATCATACTGGTTCGCTAACTCGTTTGAATAAATGTAGGTTTACATGTTTATACAAAATGTTGTCAAAATCGGAGCATTTTTGCTTTAGACTTATAAATTTGATATTTTTTAAAGTTGAACTATATAGCCTACTACTGATATCTCCATGTTCCCTATGCCAAAGAGTTATTTTTAATAAGTTAGGCCTAATTAATGTTTGTTTTTTTATACTGATGTTTTTTATTAATGTTTTTTAATAAAAGATTTAAAAAAATTTGGTCTATTATTATTATTTTTATATTTAACCAGTCTGTCATTAATTAGTAGGTATTTAAAAATGTTGAAAAATCAGGTTAAAATGTAGAACGTGCATTCGCCGTTAGTATGAGAAGGGAAATCCCATATCGACCTCGTCTCGAAATTTTATGAGAAATAAAAATTCCTGTCTTGTCTCGTCTCAAACTAAAATCTAATCTCGTCCATCCCTAGTTAATATTGCATATTTGTGACACGTTCTGGCCCTCGTAGAATAAAGTGAAAGTGGTGTGTGTTATGTTACCGAGAAGAATTATGAAGCATACAGTGGTTTGGGAATCAGGGGTGTAAGAATGGGCTGTTAACTGATTGTCCCAGACAATTAATAAGTCTAGTCATGAAAATACACACTTAAATAATTTACAACACTTCCCATATTAAAATTATGGTGAATATTTTCAGTTAAAACTTACAGTAACAAAGAAATGTACGTTGTCATTTCTGTTATAGAATTTTGGTAAATTATCAGTCGATCTGCATTATTGTACGTGCTCTTAGTTTTAGTTTTAAGTTAATTATATTATGGAGAGAATATGCAAACCCACAACAAAAATAAAACAAACTTAGTTGTGATATCAGTAAAATAAACAATGGTTAAAAAGATTACAAATGTTTTGCTATAAAGTCGCTCAGTATTGTACAATAAAATAAAGGCAAACAATTTTTTAAAAACCTTTGTAATTTGATGTGAGTTTAAAATCATATAACTTCATGTTGATGAGTGAATCATATACAGAAAATACCCCCGCCGCAGCAAACCTGCAGACTAAGCGAATTTCCATTTCACTGATTGGATTTACACTGAAATGTCTACTTAAAAATATAACATTTATTCTTGATTTAAATAGAATTAGTTTAACAAGTACTTAGGTTTGCTGCATCAGGGAGGGTAAAACTGTTTTTTTTGTAAAATGTGAATAGTAAGTAAGAAATAAAAACATTTTCCAAATTTGATCAAAATATGTTCACAAACAAGTAAACTACAACAGTTTACTTATTCTCCATAAGAATAACATGGGAATTTTAAATTTACAATTTTTTGGAATTTTCTCCGTAACCATTAGGCGCATAATAACGCTTCAATATACTAAATTATTTGTTTTTTTAAGCTCTACAAAATGGTTTGGAAAGAAATTGCTAAATTTTATGTTTTTTGGGTCAAAAATGGGAAAAACCTATTTTTACCCCATAAAACCCCCCGTAAACCCCCGTTCCCATGGTCCGATCATGCTGGATCGCGAACTCGTTCGAATAAATGTACGTTTACACGTTTGTACCAAATTTCATCAAAATCGGATCATTTTTGCTCGAGTTATCGTGCTGACGGACACATATATATATATATATATATATATATATATATATATATATATATATATATATATGTATATGAATTTGAACGGATGGTGTTTTTGGCCTCTAGGGACCTCAAAACGAAAAAAAAAAATCGGTCCCGCGTCCAGGTCTTACCATGAGTACTACGGTAATAGCTTATTCCCTATATGGGAAATTCGCTAAAATACTAAAATGCACTCGGATTCCTACAATATAGCCTACAATTAATTGTGTCATTACAATGTTAAGGTTGCTGGGGGAAGTGACGATGAGTAGTGGGGGGGGGGGGACTGATTTGCGAGCGCGGAGCAGGCTACCTTAGCACAGCGTGTCTCAATGCAGACTGAGCTCAGCGGCGTACTGCATTACCATATGATTACCGCGACCCAAGCGTCAGCGGCCCAAACTACGTCGCCAAAATCGGTAACAACTAATAGCATTAGGTGATAACTCTTATACGTGTATACTCAATGGTATAACTCAATGGCCTAGCTTAAAGTAATGTTGTAAGCAATTCAAGATAGGGTCTGCAGGTCAGACTTTTTTGGTTCGGGCGATAATCGGGTCGGGCCAAAAATCATTAACAGATTTTGTTTTGTTTTAACTTGTTATATCTGTGTTTATAATATTAATAGAAAATATAATATGAAAAAAGATTGCATTTATGTATATTATTTCATTTTCATATCTCATTTACAGCTTGGGAATTGCCTCAATTTCAGGAATGAAGAAAATAAAAATAGTAATAGGCTAAGCAACATGACAAGTGGAGAACTCATCGAAGAAAATATGTTGTGTAAACTGATTTACTATAAAACTCAAAAATAGTAATCAACACACACATTGTTAATGGTATAGTTAGTAAGGACTGTAACAATTGCATATCATGTCATACAGTAGTATAGATAGACCTACTGTAAGAGATTAAAATCTAAAAACAACTGATTTTGATGACTAATAAATGAAAAGAATTTAAAATCCATAAACTCAAGTCAAACAATATCACAATTAATTACAGTAGAGTAGAGAGTCAAAAATCCGAACATCAAAAATCTGAAACTTCAAAAATCGAACCGCTCCTTAGGGTTTTAATATATTGAATTAGCACAGAGGCAACAGATGTTTTACAATTTCGCGGGCCAAAGAGTCGACGCCTGGCAGGGAAATGAGTGAACGCGCCAAGCCAGTCTGTGTTTTGTTCGTTTCAAAAGTATAAGCTCTACATATTTTTCAAGAAACGATTACAGTTTAATGTAACGAAAATACCTAAGTAAAAAATCATTGTTTTTATTTCATTCACTGTATCCTAGAATTGTATTGTTACTAGTGTAGGCATAATTATGTGTCTATTAGGCATTACTTGGCTATGTTTGAAAATCCGAACAAATCGGTAATCTGAACTACCTACGGTCCCTATTGGTTCGGATTTTTGACTCTCTACTGTAGGTACCCAAAAAGGAACTCTTAACTAATAAACTGTCATAATCTGTCATACCTGGTCATAATAGGTCCAGAACGTACAGGATATGAAAACTCAGGACCCAATTGTTCATCCTTGAGTGACCCTGTAGTTGTATCGAGAAGGTGCTGATTTATTTTTTTATGCTGTGTCTTTTTACACCGATGACATTTCTACAGTCTTTTGTATGGGTAGGGTACAAGGTAAGTACAGAGTTTGTTTTCTTTGCACTGTTGCGTCACGGCTTTTGTCAGTAGATGACTGGCTCTGGCTAGTGGCAGTGCGACAATTGCTCTGTTGTGTCTTTGTCTTTATTTTTAAACGTCAGCAAGCTTAATATTTAATTCTCAGTTGACATTTTACTTCCTCTGCAATAATAGATACCAGTGGTCGTCCAGTGGTCGAAAACTCAACCAAAAATATTAAATGTACACGCATTGACTATTGGATGGATACTGAAGTAGACATCCCATCTATGTAGACCAGCTGTGGCCATTTTTTTAATTAAAAACATGTAGTTGTGTGAGCCAGTCACAGAATGAGTGTCTAAAATTCTACTTTCCACCTTATTATTTGTTGCTAACAAAAGTAATTCCAAAAGTTTAACTTGGTAAAAAGCATCGTGTATTCGACAGAAATTATTCTTTAGAACAATCTTCTTAGAGCAATCTGTTGGTGGCTCACATCAACTACGACAAATTTAATTTAAAAACTGGCGACAACTTAAACATGGGTATGGAATGTCTAGTTGTAAGTCAAAGGTATAGGCTTCCCTAATTTTCACCCCACGCTGTAAATAAAACATGTGATCGTAATTTCTTATATTTGTTTTGATTTTATATTAATATGTCATTGTTATTTTGTCACCAGAATGACAACCCATAAAGTCCATGTTAATCATTTTTTATTTCAAATTCATTTTTTGTGCATATATTTGAGCCTATTTTAATTTTTAAAGGGATTCTGCACATCTACAGGAAAATATCTTTCTAACCATATGCGTAGATTTCCCCTGCGATGCACACGAGCTGAGAAAAAAGGTTTTAAAGAAACATGCTTGCCTATTAATAAATAGATATATAATATAAGTGTTTCTTTGAAAATAAATTATTATTGTTTTTTAGACCCGAACAAATCTCTGACCCGACTCGATCTCTCGGGCCTTCCGCTGGCCCAACCCGACCCAAAAAATTCGGGGACCTGCAGACCCCTAGTTCAAGACCAGTGTCATGGGAGATAAGGCAGTAGTTTTAGTGGGTGATGTTTCCACAACTCACCACAATGACACTCAGTCTTGTACAATGATTCTCATTTTTTTTTTACCTTCCTTGGCGTGTTGATCCAGGCGAGATGGCTGAAGTGAGAGTCACACGACACCCCCACCACTGCTGTGTTGATAGCCTTGAACTCATTCATCCTATCACTAAAGGCGATGATCTCCGTAGGGCACACAAAAGTGCTGAAACCATTCATTTACTCTGGTCAATGTTTAGTTTTTAAATAATAAGCATCACCAACAGGTAAAAATATATTAGACGAAGCATAAAGAAAATATTAAGTTAAAGAACAGACTATATGAATAAACTATATGGCATACAGGGTCTAACTGAAGTTTAAACAGTGCCTCTTATTTGTGATACCTGACAAATGTTTATCATTATAAATTAACAACATTAAAATTTCAGAAGACTGTAGTACATTGCATCACCCTAGGTCCACGACTATGGTAGCGATGAGTGTACAATTGATTAGATGAAGCTCGGTTACTGAAAAAGGATGGATGAGTATTTGGAGATGAGTATTGTGAGGTAGGCCTACTTAATTGGAACCAAGGATTTGACGTTGACCTATTCCAAAAATAGCAAAAAATAAAAACTCATTGAATGCTACTGCGATGCAGATTTTGCTAAAAGTATTGAAGATAGGAAGAGTATCAGTGGTTATATGTTTAAAATATTTGGCAACACAGTGGCTTGGAAAACTAAGAAACAACCAATAGTGGCTCTTTCCACTTGCGAATCAGAATATATTGCATTTGCAACATGTGCAACGGAGTGTGTGTTCATAAAGAGATTATTATCAGAAATGCTACTTAAGGTTCAAATAACTCAGGTTGTTATTTGGGAAGATAATCAGTCCATAAAAATTGCTAAGACACTTGAAACTAATAGATCCAAACAAATTGGTGTGTAATTCCATTATATAAAGAAGCTGATAGAAAATGGTGTAGTGGAACTTAAGTATGTTACATCTGAAAACCAAGTTGCAGATATTTTTACCAGACTGCCTATCTTTAAATTCAACAAATTCAGGAGGGATATGGGACTTAAATGAAACTTGACATTCTTAACATTTGTGCCTGAAGGTTATAAAATTGCGGGGGAGTGTTGAAGCAATTTCAATAAGTCTGTGTATAATGTCATATTAATTATGATACCCCCGCCGCAGCAAACCTGCAGACTAAGCGAATTTCAACTTGTCTGATTACATTTTTATTAAAATATTTCCATAAATAACACATATTTGTTCCCAATTTAAATAACATTAGATTTAACGAGTGCTTAGGTTTGCTGCTACGGGGAAGGTATAAAGTGTGTTTTGACCATACGTCAATATTATACGATGAAATAAATAAATGTGCCAAATTGGATCAACATGTCATATATCCATAAACAAGTAAACTACAACAGTTTTCATTTTCTCCATAAGAATAACATGGGAATTTTAAATTACACTTTTTTTATTTTCTCTGTGACCGTTAGGCATACAACAGCGCTTCAAAAATTGGATCAACATGTCATATATCGAGAGTCGAGCAAATACAGTATATAGCAGTTTTTTTCAATTTTGTTCCAGGTCCATTGTATTGATAGCCGAGCAAATGCAGTTCCACCGGTAATAATTTTTACCTCCGTGTTATCCGAGTTTTTGATTATCCGGGGTAGTCTCGGTCTCGTTTAGCTCGGATAATCAGACTTCTACAGTACTGTGCCGCTAAAAAAATCACGATTGCTGATCGGGACAAAGCCGCTCCGGATGAGAGAGAGTCTACTGTATTCGGAAATCAGACGGAACTAAAAAAGCAACGATTCAAGATTCAAAAAGAGTTTATTCACACAGTAGAACAAATTTTTATACATGAATAGTGTATATTGTTACTTCCTACCTAAATTAGCAATAAGAAACAGTTAAACATAACAAAATACTATAGGCTACATTATTTAAAATTTAAATTACTAAAATCCTCTATAGTGTAAGGTGCAAGATCAAGTAAGAATGCCTTCAGTTTTTTTTATAAATTATACTGATTCTTATATTGTTTGTTTAAAAAAAAATCCAGCAAATTTAGTTATAGTATGTAAGAAGCATAATTGATTTATTTGAATTGTTTGTAGTGGTAACATTGTTTCTTTTTTCATTTCCCTCACTAAGTTTGATTTCATTCATAATTCTGTATCTCATGGCAGGCAAATCTCGTAGACATTGTAAGTACAAAATATTATTATCCATTATAATCTAGGAAAGTAAAATCTGAAATTAAAATTTGTATTAAAAATACTATTGAACATGGATATGGGAAAATAATATTCACTGTTGGTTAACCTCAAATTCTAGAATATGTTAAATTAGGTTATAAGTATGTTAACTTGCAAAAAGCACATTGTACGAAAGAAAATGGTAATTGAAATTTATATTTAGAATAGTTATATTAGTAATATTTATGCATTTGTATATTTTTTTTACAGACGAGTTCCTGTATTAAAATAGAGCTCTGCGGAAGGTCATCTTAAAGTAAGACTGTTTCAATTAAATAATTATTTAGGACTGAGATACAGAGGTATAATTTAAGTAAATCAAAAGTATATATTTGTTATGATTTCATTCATTTTATTAATAAAATTTCAGTGATGTACACGGAAATGAAATGGCTTCTTTTTAACTTAGGCTACATCCTATTGAAGTTATATAGTTCTGTAGTATAAATCATTACATTTATACTTTTATTGGACCTTACGAGTATAAATATATGCGCAACTCTGCTATACAGAACAACAAAATATAACAAAAAATCAGGAAATCACTATAGCCTACTTTTAAAGTTTTAACCAAGCCTAATTTTTACTAGCCTAGAGTGAAATATTACATTACAGCCTAGTTACTAAATGAGCATGAATCTATAGCAAGATTATTTCATAAACATGTCTAAATTTAACTTGAATTACCTTATCAAAGAAGAGCTAACATATGAGCTCTTATCAAGAGGACAAGATATTATTAACAATGATGTTCAGAGTTTAAGGAGGCAATTAAGGTTATGTCAAGACGTTCCAACAAATGTTATTAATTTGAAAGGGAAAATTATACTTAAAGATGAATTTGACACGATAGAAAACAAGTTATATAATGCAGAGGAACTAATAGGTCAGTGCAAGGAAGCTAATAGCAACTTATTAGTAGCCAAAATCAAAGCTAAGCTAGCCCATTTAGCCTTAAGAATTTCACATATGAAACTGTGTAAACTAGAAGAATCCTTTACGAATAGACTTACTGAATATGTGGATAAATTGCAAAAATTCACGTCGCTATTTGAAGCTATCCTAAATGACATCCCTCAGGAGGAGTTGGCGGAGTTTGAAGAAAGATTAAACACCTCTATTTTGGACGAAGAGGAAATCGACTCAGAGATAAATAAGCATGTTATTCACGGTAGACAAACATCTTCTACCCCTACCCAACATAACACACAGACACTGGAAGTCGTTCAAGATTTCAAGCCTATAGAAATTCCATTTAACAATCGCCTTGGTCCACAAGTACAACCACTAGCAGGCCCCTCTCAAGAGATTGAAAATGTAAATGTATTCGGAAAAATTAAGAATCCGTTAGAAAATTATCTCCAAAAATTCAGGATCTGTAATGGACTAGAAATCTATCCTCTGCTTGACTTTTTAAGAAACCTAATAACCATCACCATCGAGACCAATCTTACTTCACACCAACTGTTTGAAATCTTGCCTACATATACTTCTCAACCTCTCACGAATAAAATATTAGAACACAAGAACACAAATCAATCAATAGACCGACTACACACAGACATTATAAATACCTTCATACCAATAACACTGAAGGAGAAACTGAAACAAGAACTTATCTTTAGACCGCAAAAAACAAACGAACCGTTGTCAATCTACATAAATGAGGTCAAGACAAATCATCAAGTATTGAAGGGAAATCTCACTGAAGAAGAATTGGTTTGTTTCATCAAAAATGGCATCCACCCAGAAATCAGAAATAAATTAGTGTTTGAAAAAAATCCGATAACCTTCAGAGATTTAGACCAACTGTGCATTAACCTAAACAACGTTAATTTTAATGATTATGTCAGACACAATATGTTTCCTACAACGTCTAATACATCATCAGGACATATGCATAATAGGTCAATTGAAAATCAGGGAAATCATGGGTATGGACAAACGTCAAGTGGGACCTCATATCCACGAGACAGGGTTTGTTATAACTGTGCTAGACCAGGTCATACAGCAAGACAGTGCTTCAGAAAACCAAAAAACTCATAAACTTGGGAGGTGTAAGAACCGAACTTCACGTATCTTATCCTCCCAGAAAACAAAATGTTAGTGATAATACAAATCATAGTTTCGCATTCAAAAATGAATTAAGACAACTAGTTAAAGGGCACAACAAGTTAAAGAAACCTAGCATAACTAAAACCAAAGGTAAAACAATACATTCTTTACCATGCATGCAAATAAAATTAACTGGGAAGATACATGTAAAATCTCTACTCGATACTGGAGCCAGTAGAAACTTTATAAGTAAAGAGCTTTATGACAAACTAAACGCAGTAAATAAAATTAGAGGAACTAAGAAATGGACTGATATAATGTTAGCTGCAAACGAAGAACCATTGGACATCATAAATGAATGCAAGATAAAAATCAAGATAAGCAAGTATTCCTGGTATGAAAAATTTTTGGTGATAAAACAAAACTATTATCATATGATAGTGGGAGCTCCATTCATTCGGAACAAAGGCCTAATTATCGATTTAAATGACAACAGCTGTTATTTTAAATTCGCACCTTCAGACAAAATAAAGTTGTGTGGAGATGAAAATTGGCAGAAATTAGCAATAAATAATATTCATATCGGAACTCCAGAGATGACCACAGAAATAGAAGAACTAGTAAAATCATATCCCAATGTATTTACTGATAAGATTGGTGAGGCACTTGACCTACAAGTAGAATTAAAGCTTACTGATGATAAACCTATATGTATTCGCCCTTATTTCCTAAGTCCACCCACTTTGAACAAAATGAAAGCTATAGTAGACGATTGGTTAGCCCAAGGTATAATAGAACCATCCACTAGCGAATATAGCAGCCCAGCATTTTTAACAGCAAAAGATAGATTGGTAGTAAACTATTCGGA